TAGTCTATATGAGTGTTGAAAGATATTTCGGGCTGTATAACCTCTCCTACTCAAATCAATAGTGAAGTATACCATCTGTCTCTGAACACAGCACAATCATTAGTGAAATTTTCGCGCGGGGGGGGGTCTGTTAAACACTCTCACGGCGGAGCCTTAGGCTCGCTGTGAAATATGACCAAGGGTGTCTAAGGGATGTCTTGAATGCCGCATATTTGGGTCTTTATGCAATCAAGATGAGGATATTTTGATACAGTGACAAATATCAAAACATATTTTATTAAAAATTAGATAGGTACTACGTGAAGAATAAAATTAGTGCTATGTGTGGTTTTTGGTGAATAGAGAGGTTTTGTTGGCGTATAGATGGAGAGATAGTCGCACGCTTTAGTTCACAGGTGAATGATACCCCGGATCAGTCTCTCTATACAAAGTTTTGTTGTTCATCCATCACGTACATAAAATTTAAAAAAATGTGCAGTATAAAGCTTGGCAGTAACTGGAAATACTTATGATTCTCATTCTCAGAATTTTCCTCTTTTTGATTATTGTGGCTCCTAAATTGCTACCCCGTCGCTGTCACTCACAACTTCCTTAGGCGACGAATTATTCAACTTGTCCATCGACCTTTAAAGCTGATCTAATCCTTTGTTGCACATAGGCCTGTGTGTGAGGGAGGATTGTCTTTTGTTTTATTTTACTCCTCTCTCAGTGGCCTTACAATTGGGTCTCAGTTAAAATCTACGTTTTTTACAAATCTATTCTTCTTCTTCGATCTCTCTCTCTATCTATTTTACGGATTGCATATAGTGCTCGTAATCATGTCGGCACAAATGACAATACTACTTTTTACATATCGTCTTTCTCCTCTCAATCCTTCTCGTCATCTCTCTTATTCTTCTCTCTCATAGAAGAGGAGGCGAGGATCGAATTGAGGTGCATGCTGGTGAACAATGGAAACCCAGCTTCAAGGCCGGCCCCCTCCTCTACTTACTCCTTTCTCTCTCTTTAGAATTAGCTCCGAACTGTGTCCTATACTTTTATGATCTGCCCGAGTTCGTCAACAATCGTCACTGTTGAAGGCGTTATACTTGGTTCTTTCTCCGAACCATTACCATCCTCATCATTCCATACTAACAAGTGTTCATTGGAACCCAGAACATGCGCAGAGAGATAATATTTTCATCCATTTATACTATACGACAGCACAATAAATACTACATGTACACATTGCATGGATTTACCCTTATTCATGTTAGGCGGAGAATTGGGTGATAGTGGATATACCTGAGGTCAGAGGTTAAATATATCTAAATTTACCTTTGGACTTAGAAATTTTAAGCGTTTAATTCAGCCTCGCTTCTGAACTTGGTTTGGTTACCAGTGATATGTCAGATCCCCAAACTAATGATAAGATGTGTTAAAAATGTGTTAGAATAATACTTGCTCCACCAGGATTTTTTAGTTTTTATAAAAGCTACAGTAGTTAATTATTCCAGTTTAATTTCAAAAAGCAAGTTCATCATATTTTTATCATTATTTTCTTCCCCAGATCAGTTAAGGAGTTTCTGAACCACAGCACAATGAAAATGCTTAAAATTGTATTATTAATTCTCCTTCATCTCAAATATAGCAGAAGTCTATGAGCTATAGATTTGCTCCTCTTAATAAGACATGA